CCACGTTGGGCTCTCTGCTCAGCGGGAAGCCTGCTTCTCCCTCTCCCACTCCCCCTGCTTGTGTTCCCTCTCTCACTGTGTCTCTCTGTCAAATAAATAAAATCTTAAAAAAAAAAAAAAAAACTCTCAGCTACATAGATTTTCTTTCAGTATTTTAGAATGGGAAAATTTTCATAGAAGGTTAAAAAAGGAATTGATCATTGTATGGTTATTTCCTATTAGATTTCTGCACAACACAGGAATAACTCATTTCATTTACTTGACACACTTGATTTCATTCTATATAATTCTGCATAGAACCATCACCAACATTCTTTTGCTTCCCTATGTAGCAAAACTCCTTGGGTTGTCTATACTTGATACTGTTGCCTGACATTTCTCTTCTTGTTCTCTCTCTTCTTAAACTCTATATTATAAAATACCTTCAAATTTACAGAAAATTTTCAAGGATAGAACATTCATATACCCTTTACCCAGAGGAACCAATTATTATTTTGCCCTGTTTGTCTTTGCTATATATTTTTTTCGTAACCACTTGAGAATTTGTTGTACACATCATGCCCCTTTATCCCTAAATATCTCAGCATGTATTTTCCTTATTTTTAATTTATTATTTATTTATTTATTTACTTACTTACTTACTTATTTTTTAGAGAGAGAGAGAAAGGGGTAGGAGAAAGGGGCAGAAGGAGAGGGAGAGAGAGAATCCCAAGCAGGCTCCATGCCCAACCCAGAGCCCGACTCGGGGCTCAATCTCAGGACCCTGAAATCATGACCTGAGCTGAAACCAAGAGGCCGACGCTTAACTGACTGAGCTACCCAGGCACCCATCAGCATGTATTTTCTAAGAACAGGAGCCTTCTTTTGCAGACCACAGTTCAATTATCAAATTTCTCATATATATGTCCATATCCAAATTTCACAAATTATCCTAATAAAGCCATTTTTGGAAATTATTTCCTGATCCAGGATCTCATTCAGAGTCATACGAATGCATTTAGAGCACTCTATCTGGCATCCATTATCCTGAAACAATACCAGCGGATATCTTTGTCTTTCATGACACTGACATTTTTTAAAGAATGCAGGTTGATTACTTTGTAAAGTATCTTTCAGCTTGGGTTCTTATGATGTTTCCTCTTTCCGGGGGTTGGAGCAAGAACACAACATAGGCAATGTTGTGTCCTCAGTGTATTACATCAGAAGTGTGTAATGTCAGCTTCTCCCATTATTGGGGATGTAAACTTTGATTACTTAGTGAAAATGGTGCCCTCTCTACATTTGTCCACTAAAAAACTACACAACTTTTCCTTTCCAATTAATAAATCAGTGGGGAGATACTTTGATACCATAAATTATCCTGTTGCTTTTTAAACTTCCACTGAATAGTTTTAGTGTCCATCGATGATTTTGGCCCGAAGCAGTTATCACCATAAAAGTTGCAAAATGGTGGGGCACCTGGGTGTCTCAGTTGGTTAAGTGTCTGACTCTTGATTTCGGCTCAGGTCATGATCTCAGGGTCGTGAGATTGAGCCCCATGTCAGGCTCCGTGCTGGGTGTGGAGCCTGCTTAAGATTCTCTCTCTCCCTCTCCCTATGCCTCTCCCCCACCTCTCTCTCTCTCCTAAAAAAAAAAAAAAAAAAAAGTTGCAAAATGGTAATTTTCTAACTCTATTAGTTCCTCTGCATTATGGGTTGACACTCTGCAAGGAAGAGATTTCCCTTATTTATTTACTTATTTGTTTACTTACCATCAGTATGGACTCATGGATTCTTCTCTCAGTCAGTGGTTTATAATCAGCTCTTCCATTATTCATGTTGATGCTCAAAGTTTCCCATATTTGGTCAGAGGGACCCCTGCAAGTCATCTCCTCTGTCATTTTTGTAATGATCCCATCATTTCTCGAGCTCTCCCTTACCTTCCAGAACGACAAGAAGTTGCAGTTCTTGTATTTTGCCTGCCACAGTCCGAGACTTGGCCATTTCACAGAGGAGGTCTGGTTTCTTTTAGTGAGAAATTGTGTTTTAAAAACAAAATCTAGGTTATAGATGTGTGACTGGGATGTTGTTGCTTCTGGCATAGTATAAAATGTGCTCCATTAAGTGCATAGTTCAGTGAATTTTGACAAATGTATATACCCGTGGTCAATTTTCAGTCTTTGTTGAACTTGCTCTGTCATTAACAGCATTCGATACTGAGGATCTCACCTTCCTCCTTGCAATATTGTCTTCACTAGGCTTCTGGGAAATGATGGTTTTTCCCTATCCCCACTGGATACTCCTCAGTCTCCTTCAGTTGTCTCTGCTCTTCTCTATATCTTTCAAAGTTGAAATACTGCAGAACTCAGACTCCGATGCTTTTCTCATCTGTATATATGTCTGCTCCCTAGGTAATCTCATCTGACAACTCCCAGATTTGTATCTCTAGCCCAGTCTTCTCCCCCAAGCTCTGGGTTTTATATCCACTTATTTCCATCTGACATCTGTGCCTGAATTTCCAATAGACATCCAAATTCAACATGTGCAAAACTGAAATCCACCCCACACCTGGCCTACCTGTGGCTTTCCCATCTCAGGTGATGGCAGCTCCATTCTCCTAGTTATTGAGAGCAAAAACTTGGAGGTACCCAAAATATACTCCAGATCCCTCCCTCCACTTCTTGTCCCTCCACTGGTCCTCCCATGATCTGAGCAACCATCATCTCTTGCCTGGGTTATTTCAAGGGCCTCATAGCTGGTCTCACTACATCAAAGCTTTCTCTTACAAACTGCTCGCCACATAGAATGACCCTTTTTGAATATATAGTGTGATCATATCACTCTTCTCTCAAAACTCTGCAGTGGCAAAGTGCCTGGGTAGCTCACTCAGCCAGGTAAGCATCTGACTTGGACTCAGGTCATGATCTCAGAGTCCTGGGATCGAGCCCCGCAATGGGATTCCCACTCAGGGGAGTCTGCTTTTCCCTCTCCCTCTGCGCCCCCCCACAACCCTCACTCATGCTTTCTCTGTCTCTCTGTCCCTCTCTCAAATAAATAAATAAAATCTTAAACAAACAAATAAACAAACCTTTGCAGTGGCTCCTTATTTCATTCAGAGTAGAGCCCAAGCTGTTACAATGGCCTACAGGACTCTGTATAATTCTCATGCCCTCCTCTGCTCTGAGACCTCATCTCCTACTCCTCCTCTTCCTCTCCTTTCCATCCACCTGGAATTCCTGCGGCTCCTCCCACATGCTGGCATGCCAGGCGTGCCCCTTCTAGGGGCATTCAAGCTGGTACCTCTGTAAGGAAGGTATCTCCCAGATATCTGCTTGGCCAGCTTCCTCATCTCCTTCACTTGACCAAACTATACCCTCTAATGAGGCCCACCCTGACTATCCAAACACAGAATGCCTGGTCCCTCACTTTCAGCTTTTCTGGCTTTTTCCCATTGTACTTACCACCATCTAACACATTTTTATAAATTACTTATTTTTTGTTTATTGGTTATTGCATGTCCCTTTATGCTGGAACGTAAACTTCATGAGTACAGGGATCTTTGTTCTGCTCACTGGAGAACCTAGAACCAAAGGATCTCACTGAACATCTGTGTTTTAAATAAATGAATGAACCACTTTGACCTGTACTTTGACTTGATAAATTGATAGAAATGAGTAAGAACCCACTAGTAGAACTGAGTCCACGTATACCATTTTTAATTTAGCTGTATGCCTAACACCCAACTTCAGTTACACTCCTCTCTCTGGGTGTATGTTTGCCTCTTTCCACACATGAAATCTAGATCCACTTTAAAAAAAGAAAGCATTTCAGTGAGGTGGGATTTCCAGAGAACAGTGGGTTTTGCCTGCCCTGCATTAAGCCTTTGCATGCATAATATAGCCTAAGTAACAAACTGATTTTGGTCAGTCACTGCCATCGGGGAGGGCCATGTTGCCCACTCTTTCCGCTGCTTCTCTATCCACTGTGATTCTGAGTTCCCTAGAGAAGAAGGGGAGATGGGAGGAAGGGTGAAAGAATCCAAAATTTCTTTAGATATGGACCTACGTTTTCCTAGTAGACTGTTCAGTTGACTCCAGATTCAAAATGGGTAGTAGATGTCACTTAGGTGGCCCTGGAGTGATTCATAGAATTTCAGCTGAGATAAGACATACCCTGACAGGCATTCAGATAATGTGCCTGGGGTATTTCTGGAAAATCACCATGATGTCAACAGTCAAGTTTTGAAAGGCACATGTGACATGAGTATTAAAATATCTCTACTGACAGGATCAGACTTTCCTGGCCACTAGTAAAAAAGAATATACTCCATTAGAAAGTAGACACCCTCTTTGCTTCTTGTCCAGAAAATCTAGGTCACCTTTGTACTGAGATTCTTGATTCCTTTGCCCCTGGTATTCCTGGGACATTAGGAAACATTTTCCTCATGTCTAAGCTAGTGTATTCTCAGCCCTTTTAATTAAGAGAGTGTAGGATGAGAACCTGGTTTAAATGCTGGAGGCTTGGTTTTAATATCATAGAAAAAAGCATAACTGTTCCTTTCAAATGCATGCAGAAGTATGCAGATTTCACGTACTTCACGTACTAAGCATACCAGCGCCATTAATAAGAAAATGAAGATTTTAATTTATATATCTCATGTCTTCTAAAATTACATTCAGAAATATCTTGACGTTTTAATGAATGTAATATATAAGAAAGGTCATTTTTGTTCTAAGACAACTTCAAATGTAGATTTAAATAGACTGTATTTAAGAGAGCACTGAGAGCATATTTTATCTCTTTTATAATACATTGTGTTTTTACATCAGGCTCCCTGCTCATGGGGGAGCCTGCTTCTCCCTCTCCCTCTGTCTGCTGCTCCCCTGGCTTGTGCTCTCTCTCTCTCTCTCCCCCTGTCAAATAAATAAATAAAATCTTAAATATAATACGTTGTATTTTTACATAGTGGAGAAAATAGGGCTTTTTAAATATATAATGTCTGTATTTGATTACTTTCCTCAGATACAACACACTCAGGGGAAATTGGCACTAAGAAAAAGGTGAAAAGACTGTTAAGCTTTCAAAGATACTTCCATGCATCGAGGCTGCTTCGTGGAATTATACCGCAAGCCCCTCTCCACCTGCTGGATGAAGACTACCTTGGACAAGCAAGGGTGAGTTAGTCTCCTCTATCACCTCCCAGGAGGTCAGTGGCCAAAAGCATGTACCTCAGCTGACAGTACCTGGGTTGGAGTCCAACTTCTGCCACTGAGACCCTCTGTGACTCTGGCTAGTTAGTCAACACATCTGGACTTTTCCCTCAAATATGAAATGAGGTTAATAGAAACACCCAGCTCGGGGCGGCGGGGGGGATGCAGAAATTACATGAGGTAAAGCATGCTTACATGTTTCATATATTCATGCCTAGCACATGCTAGCTATTTTCATTTTTACAAATGGACAAAACATATTTGCACAACACTAACTAAAGTAAAATTCTGGACTAATTGATTACCAATGAGAGAATAGCTAAGTCTTTAAACCCATTATAATAGCTATGCTGAAAGTAACCCAATAATTACCAACTCTTAATTCCACTTCTGTCTACCAATATGGTATGTAGTCCTTTTTATAATTTTATTTTATTTAAATAATTTTCACAAATTTTACAATCATTTTTGCAATTCATTGATCAAAGGTTGAAATGAACATGTGACAATTAAAAAAAAAAAAGTTCACAAGTTATCTCTAGCCCAAACTGTCAAAGGAGTTTAAATTTCAAGATAAACTGCCACCGTTTAAACAGAAATCACAAGTAGAGTCTTAGAGTTTACATGCTAAGTAATATTATGCTATCTATATACTATTAAGAAATATATACTATTACTGTATAGTGTTAGTAACTAAGCAACAAGTAATATCAGAAGAACTAATTCCCAACTTTAGGTTTAAAAAAGGAAAAAAAAAAATCACTCCTAACAGCCCAAGGCCTGAGATTGAGTGAATATTTGTTTGTTTGTTTATTCATCTGGATGGTTGGGTGGTTGGGTGGTTGGGTGGTTGGGTGGTTGGGTGGTTGGTTGGGTGGTTGTTTGGAGAAGAAAGAGCAAGACTAAGCGCCCTGGGGCATCAGTGACAGAGCATTCTTGTGGGGCCTTCCTCCAAGCATTCACCCCTCAAGAGTGATGACACTGAGATGTAGAAAGAACTGTGGGTCACAAGTCAGGATTCCAGGGGTCAAGTCCTGATTCTGCTTTAGTATTTGACTTGGATAAAATGTTCACGCACACCAGATCTCACAGGTAACCTATTATTTCTTCATTTTTCTGATAATGCTGGAAGGTCTTTGTGTGCTGTGACAAGGCCCTCAGACTTTATTGGAAGATGGAGGGAAGACATTTAGGGGCAGGAAGAGGAGAGTGAGCTGGTCCTTACAGGAAGCAGTGACTTTGAGAAGAGAGGAAGGCCAGGCAAAGAAGCCACAGTGAGGATAGAATCCATAACCACAGCTTCACATCTAAGAGTTAAAGACCATCTAATTCTAAGCATGGGGGATTTAAAAAAAACAAACAAACAGGATAATAAGCCTACATTGGACAGTAGGTCTTTAAATTACCCAACATTTTCAATTGCCAACTCCAGTTTCCTATCTGTTAGAGTGGTTCATTTCACATTTAGTCCACATTGAGCCAAGTAATGTGCTCAGCAATCATTTTGACTTCATTTTTTAAAAATTTGCTGTAAACATTCTCCTTAAGTATATAGTCATTTGCGATGTACAGACTTTACTGAACTACAATTTTAACAGATACCGAATTTTATGTGTGCTTATTATATACAAACACCATTCTAAGCACTCCACATGTATTACCTTCTTTAATCCTCACAAAAATCCTATTTTTCAAATAGGAAACTGAGGTACAGAGAGGTTAAGGAACTTGCCCAAACTCCCACAGCCAGTGAGAGATGTGGCTGACACTGAACCAGATAGTCTGATTCCTTTCACACTCTTGTTAGTAGCACGTAGAGCAAGATTTGTTTTACCACAAACCAGATAGCAATGTGCTACTATTTCCAACTTTTTAATTGTTTAATTCACTGTCTCAAAGTAAATGTTTGAGTCTCTGGTATGATTCATTTGAATGCTGTTTTTCGTTTGCCTTTTCAGCATATGCTTTCCAAAGTGGGAATGTGGGATTTTGACATTTTCTTATTTGATCGCTTGACAAATGGTAAGTCACCCAAAAGAATCTTATTTCCAAACACTGTTATTCTTTTTCCCTTCTTTTTCCACTTTCCTAAGTCTATAGCCACTCAAGAAGGGCCAGGGCAGGGGAAAATTAATTCAGATGAAAAGTAAGGACTGAATTTGGCCTTAGAATCTTAAGACCGTTTTCCTTCTGGCCTTGATGATCCCAAAGGAATTTGGAAACCACAGATTAGATTCTTTCCTGGCAGAATACTTTGGCCACATCCAAATGGAGGAGGTTCACTGTTAGTCAGTGAAAACTAGAAACACTGAAGCTCGTCTGATCAGTCCTGAGCCCTATAGGGCAGGTGTCTGTACATTTTCGCTGAGTGAGCTGAAGCTGGTCCAGTGCAGGTCTTGTTCAGATATGCTCGGCATCACTGGAGGAAAATACTGGCTGATGATGGAGTGTAAAACGTTAGGCTGCAGCTGAAGAGAAAAGTAGGCATTCCCACTGGCTTCACTTTCAAAATCTTGGTGCCTATAAAGACTTTCCTAAAGAAAATAATAAAATTTGGTTATATATTCGTCTGCCCATTAAACAAATGCCAATAGGCTTAGGGAGGCAATGAAAGACATCATACCTGATGCTGACCTTCACATGTCCCACCGTATACCAGGCTTATACTTTGTCATTACAGATGGTGTTCTCAGCCTTCTGTTACTTGACAAATAACATACAGTTGAGAGATACAGCCTAAGACCGTGAAGCTGACCGAGCTTTACACTGTGGATGGCTAACTAGACCATGTAGGGATGGAGCCCACAATCTTGTATTTCACTTTGCTCAAATCAACTGAGAAATGGGTACCAGTAGATGAAAGTAACTGTGAATAAAAGGATTTGCTCAAAAGAGAGTATAATCGTGACTCTCATGGAATATGAAATGAGCATATGTCAAAGATTTAACTCAATTAATTAGAGATCCGTTAAGATGCTACAACTAGTTCAAGGGAAAATTCAAAGAACAACACATATGTAAACAGTAAGAAATGCTTAAATGAATTTATTAATAGCTGTAAAACTGGGAAGAGGAGGTCAACTGTATTTTCACCTGAGAGATTTTGTTTGCATGTTATGGACAAGAATCATTTGCAATACTCTCAGTTATCGACAACTTTGAGAGTTGTAAAGTAGCTCAAAGGCAATGGAATCTGCAGAAATGCAGAATCAGGTGGCCCGGAAGAGTGTGCTTAGGCAATACTTTGTTTTCCACTTAAGACATCCAGTCATCATCTTGGTCCATTTCAAAATCTTTCATAAATTCTCTAATGCTTTCAAAATTCAAAATCATTACTCTTTAGTCAATAATATTTCCTAAATGCTTACTAGTCATTATTGCTTCAATTTTGCATCTCTGCTGGCTTAAGTTCTAAACTATCTCATGGTTACATCTCATCTTGGGTGATTTCTCTTAAGGAACGTGGTGACTTAGATATCCCTGTAAACCTAAGAATCAGTTGGAAGCAACTTAAGGCACATTGCAAGTGACCATTAAACTGTGTCTTTAAAAACTACACACGAACACAAACACAGTTTGTGTGTGTCCTCACAATAAGCAGACTCTTTAATATTTTCATTGCCTTTGGTATAGAGAAAGGTCCGACCTAGCTTGTTTCACTTGTACAATATGAGAAAACCTAGGACCAAACCATAGGCATAAGATCCTTTATACTTGAAAAAATTCAAATTTAACAGGGAAAAGGAGACTTTTCATTACAGAAACTTTGGATCCTTTTGTCAATCTCGATATTTTAGTGGTGATAAAAATGAGTTAAAGCAGGTGACTGTTTTCCTACAGGAAACAGCTTGGTAACACTGCTGTGCCACCTCTTCAACACCCATGGACTCATTCACCATTTCAAGTTAGACATGGTGACCTTGCACAGGTTTTTAGGTAAGTCTTCATTTCCATATTCTTACCTCCTTTCCTCTGAATAATGACAGCCCATAATATTATTTAATGTAAAGTGGCAAGAATGATAGCATGGAAGATGAAGATCTCAAGTTAATCTTAAATTATCTCACCTTAATTTTAAAATATGGTTTACCCATTTTTGAAATGGTGAAAAGTGAAAAAAGATTATTTACTTGATTATCTATGTTTACAATAGATAAAAACAATATAAAGAAAACCACCAAGAGCATGTAACTATTAAAAATTACTGATCTGCTTACATATCAGCAAAACCCCAGTAATGTATGCCTCAAATAATTCCAATCTGGACATGAGTTGTTAAAAATCTTCAATAGGCTTTTTTTTTTTTAATATAAGAACTACCATTTACGTAGTGCCCACTATATGCAAGATGCTCTCAGTATGTTATTCCTAACCATTTCAACGACTCTGCAAGTTGGGTGCTGTCACCGCCATTTGGCACACAGTTAAGGAAAAGTAGAAAGAGGTTTCATAACTTGCTCAAGGTCAACAACTTGTAATTGGCAGAGCCTCAGTCCAAGCCCAGGTCTGTCTGACTTGAAAGTCCGCCATGTTTCCACTCAACTCCACCCCGTCACTCTCTATCAAAAACAGCCCCAGTTCTTACTGGACTTAATGCGCACGCTTATTTATCTGCCAAATTATCCAGGGCACATTTTTAATCACCATATAACCTCCTGCTGCCACTTAGCATGTTTCTGGCTTCTTTGATGTGTCCTATGGCTGTGCTTTGAATTTCAAAGCTGACTTGATGCCTTGATGCCTCCAGAGTAAAGTAACAGAGACATGATAGCAACAGAAGGAATGACAACCAGGCCTATACAGTGCTGACATATGCTGGGACTAAGGACTTGCATATATTAACACATTTCATTCTTACAGCAGCCCTTTGAAATTGGAGCTATTGTTATTCCCATTTTATGGAGAAAAAAACTGAGGAAACTTATGGTTAAGTAATTTTCCCAACACATATAATAAGGGAGAGAGCCAGAGTTTAAATATAATTGTTTTTAGAAACCCATAAAATAAATAATAATTGGCAAAAGAAATTTTTGAAACCAGCTACAACATGGCTTGGTTCCAGAAACACAAATAACTTCAGGCTAATTGAATGGTTTCTTGAGCAAAGTAATGGCCACAAATGGGCCAAATAATTTTTATTTGTCTAAAGAAGGAGAACACAGATACTTTGGACATGTGTATGCCCGCAGAGTAATGTAAAGAATGAAAAGATTGATGACAGAAATAACACCCGAATTCAGAGCTAAACTCGTAAAATGAGCTGAGAAAATATGGCCACACTTGCAAATCTGGACATTCTATACACACTGAAAATATTGCATCCTAAGCATCTTAAGCTAAAGCAGGCTAATGGCTTCTGTAATTAGCAAAACCAAATCACCTTGCTTATGTCTCTACTTGGTTCCAAGAGCACTCTGGTCCTTAAATTGGAAGGGCATGAGAGATGCTAACTTAATCTGAGTGAGATAGAAATAAAACCAAGGAGTTCACCGTTGGATCAACACAGTACTTTGAACTTCTGCCTGAAGAAGTGTCAGATTTGCTTTGGTCAGTCTTTGCTATTCAAGTGCTAAACCCATCTTTGGATATCGGGGTCTGATGCTACTTGGGCTCTTTAAAAGGAAACCTCTTTAATGGCATATTATTCGTAAATGGCAGCAAACTTAAATAATTAAACTATAGTGTGAAATAAAGTTGTCCTTTTCCTACATATTTATTTTTCGTATGAATGAAAGCCTTGATGAACGCCAGAAAGGAGTGATTTATGAAGGTGGTGAGGAATCCCAAGGGCCTCACAAATCCTTTTAGCCTTTCTCCCATCTGCCCTCCCCCTCCTCTTCACTAAAAACAGCCCAGTAGAACTGCCAAGCTTGCAAACCACGTTTATTTTTAAAGGATCCCCAGGCTGCACATTTTGGAGACACTGATACTTTTAAGCAAAAGGGATCCTCAATAGGTCTGAGCTTAGTCTGCCCTTCCTGTTTTGGTTTTAGCTGATGAGTTATCTGTTTGCCTCCTAGTCATGGTTCAAGAAGATTACCACAGCCAAAACCCATATCACAATGCTGTTCATGCAGCCGATGTCACCCAGGCCATGCACTGCTACCTGAAGGAGCCAAAGGTAAAGCAAGACCCGGGTGCCTCCTCAGCCCTCTGGAGATGTCAAATAAACTGCCTGCTAAGTCCCAAATCACCCAACATAGTAGAATAACTGTGTATGGGTCATTCACTCTAGGAATATAAATTATTTCTATGAAAGTTCCGGTATCAGCTTTGTAAGTTATATAATACACACGAAAGAGGGTGTAAATTTCCTGAGGGCTTTTTTCCCATAATTTCCATACTTGTCAAGACTGCATTAGGATGAAAACAACCCTTTCTATGACAATCTACATCTTAGATATCTTCAAAACCCTCAAGAAATTAATTGTTTTGCCCTGGACCTCTGCCACAAGTGGTACCAGCAGTGAAATGCTCTGGAAAAAGTCTCTCGCTTCATGGGTTTTGATTGACAAATAGAATCAAAAGTCCTCAAGACGGAAGCTCCATTTCCTACTAAGCCAACAGGGCATCCTGATTCAGGCCCCGGAGAACTTGTCAACTTCAAAGATCCCAGAGCAAGTGTGTTCTGATGCAATAAAGCAATCCAAAACTAAAAATATAATAATAATAATACTCACTACTTGAAATCTAAGCATTTCTTAGCCATATATAACTGAATTGGCTTAACATACATGATGGATTTTCTTAAGGTTTTTCAAAAATGATATCCTAGTCCAAGTCTCTGTTTAATTTGATCAGTTTTAATATCAGTCACTAAACATACAGATGCCAGACAGGCATTCTCAAGAGAAAACTAGGTAGATAGATGCCTCATCCTTGTAAAATATCCCATTAAAAGTTGTGTTTTTTAATCTGTAAGTTGTCTGAAATTTCTAATATATCATACAGTAGTATATTTAAATTTAGTACTGGATTCCCATTCTCCTGCTTGTTTTCATAGCTACCAAAAAAATGACAGATTCTTACACATTCCCCCACTATTTATTACACCTTGAAGAAATATGCAAATTTTGTAATACAGCCCACTCTTGATTCCGTATTCCCAGTGGCAATGATAGAGGGGATGGTTGAAATACACAAATGATTTTTTTTTTAAATGTGTCCATTACTTTGGCTTTAAAATTTTCCTTCATTCACCGCTATCTCTCGGAGTAAGGCTGACTTCAGGCTCTGCCTTCTCCCTGCTCACCAGAGAGCAGTCTTGCCAATAGGCAACACCACTCCCTGCACCAATAAAAAGAAACAAGAGTAGCACTAGGAAGAGGAAGGTAGTTGGATGAATGATCCAGAAAAATTTGACTTGCTTAATTACTTTCCACACTGTCTTTTTTTCCCCCTGCAATTCCATGGGGCTATCACCTCACTGACCGCTGCTTCAAGAGGGTAAAGGTCAGGATGGAAAGCCTGAAAAATACTGTCATAATTCATACAGTTTGATTTAGCCAAAACAAGCACTAACCTATGTGGGAAAACACCAATCGATCTCCCAATGTGATTTTTTTAATAGCTTGCCAGCTTCCTCACGCCTCTGGACATCATGCTTGGCCTGCTGGCTGCAGCAGCACACGATGTTGACCATCCAGGAGTGAACCAGCCATTTTTGATCAAAACTAACCACCATCTCGCCAACCTATACCAGGTAAGGGAGCCCGTTGTTGAGTCACAGTTCAGCCAACAGCCTTCAGCCCAGTGTTGGAGCCTGTGTCTCACCTTTGGAGATAGCCTTCCTTCAGGGTCAGCCTCAATGACAGCCATAGCCAAAGACCATGGATTTGAAATAGGTCCAGGATATTCCCCAAGGAAGATTAAATTTGTTTACAAAGGTATCCAAGGAATTCCATTCTATCCAAAGCAGATTTGAAATTGTGCAGAGTAAAACAGGATCTCTGAGCCTACCCTCTCGGGATCTGAGAATATCTGTCTCCCTGGACACCGGTGGTCTCATATATAATGGCCAGTTGAAGCCAGTCCTTGTAGGACTTCTATAAATGATAATTCCCAAGTGCAATCCTAATTCAAACTTAGGTTTCTAAGACTATTTCTGAACTTGACTGGCCTCCAAGTCAGAGGTATGTTATCAAAGATAATAGGCATACTTTGTTGTTCTAAAATAGCTCAGCAGCATGAGTAGGTTGGCCTGGAGACCTTTTATTTCTGATGTTATTTAAGACAGTAAAACATATCATAGATGAATAATTCCCAGAATTTTCAGGGTGGTCCTTTGGAGACCTTTGGTTGTCATTCACAAAATCATTGCATACAAGGTAGTCATTGATCTCAATTCTAGTAGATCTTTGAGAAACACAATGCTAAAAAATTCTTGACAGATCTCCATAAAACACCTGCATTATACAAAATGTTACAGCTTGAGGATGCGTTTATTTCCAATAAAGCACAATCGGCACATGAGAAAAAGCCTTTCTCCATCCAGTTGATTAGCTTTTAGCATAGGTAGGAACTGACATTCCAATGTTTATGGATCCACCTGGTATGTATCCAGCGCTGGGCTCCCTTGAGCAGCCAGCCAGCACCCGGAGCCAGGACAGATGTGGCCACATCGAGGGGACAAGATGACAGAACTAAGAAAGCCTTTGATGATGAGCTACAAACTAAACAAAGAAAAATAAGAACTGAAGCTAAACTTTCTAAAAGCATCTCAGAAGCTAAATTTATTGCTTGAGAAAAACACAGACATGAATGACTGGACTGAAAGCCCCCAGATAGATTTTCTATTCCTGTCAATGCTGATTTTTTTCAAATGTCTTTTGTTAGACAAAGGAAATCAATCAACAAAATAAGCTATTTGATCCTTTCCCATATAAAGTAAATGCTTACATAATTCTAATTTCTTGTCATCAAATAAATCATGTCAATGAAGTTTAAGAGAGTATCTGCGGCTAGTGACCGATTGGTACGTAAAATGAGGGTCATAATACTGCACTTTGACATGTAGTATATATAAAACGTGATGGGTTCACATCTAGTCAGGAAGTTAAAAAGAAATATGCCAGATGTTAAAAACAAGAAAGTCATTGTAGAATTTCATAAGAATTAAGTACTCATTGCTAATTAACAAAAATTGATTCTCAAAATAAAAACACTCTAGTCCATCTTATTCAGATATTAAAACTGTTCTCAAAAAAATGGATTCCTTACTCAAATGTTTGAAGTGCAGGTAATTTTTAATAGTTTTTACTTAATCTCTTTGTTAAAAATAAACATTTCAATATTGTGGTGCCTGGGTAGCTCAGTCACTTGAGCCTCTGACTCTTGCTTTCAGCTCAGGTCATAATCTCAGGGTCATGAGATTGAGCCCCTCATCAGGCTCTGTGCTCAGCACAAGTCTGCTTGAGATTCCCTCCCCCTCCTCTGATCCTTCCCCCCAACTTATGCATGCTCACTATCTCTCTCTCTCTCTAAAATAAATAAATAAAATCTTTTAAAAAAATAGAAAATAAACATCCCAATACAACCAAATTCTGCAGCCTTTTCAATACAACATATAGTCTTGTATATTTTTAATCGGCAACTATTTATTGCATATATCATATAATATACTAAGATATACTAAGATCTAGGAATACAAAGATGAATAAAGTATAATCTCTGCCTTCAAACATTTGTTCAAACTCAGATGCTCAAAATGTGCAAAATCTAGGAAGACTTAATCTCAGTTTGAAAAAGCTTTGGGGAGCTAGCTAAAGATATACATACAGCTATAATTTTTTTAAGTCTTTAAAGAGTAAGGACCTGTTCTGTTCTTTGTATTCAAAATTGTTACTATAATAAAATGAGCTATTATTTTTTCTAGCAGTGAATTTATCCATCTGAACTGTCTGGCCCAATCCTTGACAGGAAAGACAAGGATCCTTTTGATAATAACTAGAAAGAATTGGAATATAGGACTTGAAAACCTCATACAGAATAAATCTTCATCAGTCTCCTGCTCAACAGGTCTTAGGACCTCTTGGAAGCTAGGTAGAGACCCTTGACTTTAGGTTTTAGAAATAGTGTTTGAAAAAAAAAAGGAAAAGAAATGGTGTTGAAGGCAAACTGGGATCACACAGTATCATAAAGATATTTCTACTATCTTAGAGCTCACTAGGATAAAAGCTGAAATTTTTATCAGCCAAACTGGGACGTAACATATTAAAAGTAAAAATTGTTAAGAGGACCTGAAAATATTATGAGATTTCAGTTCTGTCCAAAAAATTTCTGATGCCTTTTATATTTGGCTATATACCATCATTTATTAACTATCAGAGGGAATTTCAAAATAATAAAGAAAATAGTTCAACGAATTATATAACTTGTTTACCATGACTCAAAAACTGTGTTAAATGCTTTTGAGGCATTATATGATTTACTCTGCACAATAGTCCAGTTAGGTGGGTACGATTATCATACCAACTTTCCAGAAAGAGGAACATTGATACTTAGGAAAGTCAAGGGTTTTTCCTGAAAATAAATAGCTAATTAATGGCAAAGCCAGAATAAGTGTTTTGTCTCCAAAGCAGGAGTGACTCAGCACTATACACACATGATCTCTGAAATTCACATGGATCACCTACTTTCCTGTGCGGAGCACTAGGAGCTCTCCATCAAGTTTCCTCCTGCAGGGAGGGAGACAAAGGGGTTAGAGCCGAGTGGCTTCAAGAGGAAGGGACTCTGTGAAGTACTCTCCAGGGCATACCTACAAAGTATGATGGAAAGACAGATGTCTGGGGGAGGGGGGAACCTCAGGGAGGAAGAACTGTAAACGGGCCTTGACGTGTAACGTTCTGAGTAGCAGAGCTGAGGGAGGACACTGGAGGCAGCATGAGCTGGTGGACTTGTGGGATTAAAACCCCAAACTCCAGGATAACTGAAAACAGACTGTCTCTGTGGCCGTTAGCTGAGCATAGGAACAGCCCCTGCTTTCAGATCAGTGTCTTAGGCATATTTTCATTAAGTGTATATTCTCTCTTTTGTAGAAGCTTCTTCTGTAGATTAGCTATACAGAACATGACCTGGGTCAGAAAATCTCTGCTCTGCACCAAGCTGTAGATGAGGAACTGGCAAGAAAAAAAGCTGATGTTACCTAATATATAAACTGAGCCAGACCATTAACAACACATGATATTTAAAATCTTTGCCAATGTAGACTTTCAGCCTACCAAGAACCTGTTGGTTGAGACATGAATGAACTTTCAGGAAACTGTGTGCCGATTTTCAGAGGATAGACCTATGCGCTTCTTTCTAGGGTAAGGATCCATAACTTACACTCATTTTAAAACAAGTTATAGATTCTGAAAATATTAGGAACCATGGTAATGGTTAAAAAATATATGTATATACACTACGTATATATATTACACAATATATTGTGATTATATAGATACACACACACGCACACACATTTGGTTAATGAGAATCCAGTAGAGAAGATGTGCCAGGAATTATGTGGGCTGAGAACACCCGGTGCATGACTTTCTACAATCTAGGTTTTCTATAAATGAGATAAAATGGAAGAGAGCTTCCTCTCCCTCCTTTTGTTGGCTGTGCTCTTTTAGTTCCAATAAATAAGATCACTGCATAACACCCAGCCTGTGCTTCTGCTCTGAGATAAAGAGCCAGGGCAGCTGGAGTGAGGGCCAGGTTAGAGGGCTCCCTCCCATTGTCGGCTGTCTGGACCAGACTCACTAGCTGAACTGCCAACCCAAGTTCAAAATGAAGGTGATAAAAGCACTTCCACCTGGCACCTTTTTCAGCAGAGTGGAGGCCATCCAGATGTCCCTGGTGGACTGAGAGAGAAAGGAACATGAGAGACATCGAACTGAGCACTTACCTTCTGTCCCTCCGCCCCGCAAACCCTCACCCCTGCACTCAGCACTTGAGCAAAGTAAGCATTAAGTCAGATAGGATTGGTTATTACAGTAAGGACTATTGCAAAAAGAATCACTTTCAGCTCCATTTCAAATTTAATTCCTTTTGATTGGGTCTAACTACATCTTAGCTAGTGACAGAGCAACCTAATGAATAAAATAATTAATCATTGTTCCTTACTGCGTAATATGTTTCATAATATTAATTCTGTACTGTCTTATAGAATTTATAATCATTTTTCTTAGTCACTTATCACAAGCACTTAGAGCAGATCAGCATTTTTTTTAAGATTTTATTTGTTTATTTGAGAGAAAGAGAGAGCACGAGTGGGGTGAGGGGCAGAGGGAGAAGCAGACTCCCTTCTGAGCAGGGAGCCCAATGCGGGGCTCGATCCCAGGACCCTGGGACCATGACCTGAGCCAAAGGCAGACGCTTAACTGACTGAGCCACCCAGGCGCCCCAAGTCAGCATTTTTAACCACTTTTTGCTCTTACTGACTCTGAGCCATAAATAGGAATTTGACAGAGCCAGGGGAAATGTTCCTGCCACATGGTCCTATGACCCCTACTCAGACAAGCAACTGCAAAGATGATACATAACCTCACAATTTCTGCAGTATCAATGGTGTTTTGGGCCAGTCGTGTGAAAATTGCAGGAAGGAGGCTCAAATTGGATTTTCTGTTTCATAAAGTTTCTGCTGTTCACTGTGAGGTAGCTGGCGTGTGGCCTGTCCAGGGCCCTCATCTGAGGGGCCTGCCCCACAGACAGGAATTG